GCGTCCGACTTTCGCTCAGGTCATGATCTCGCGGTTCGTGGGTTCGGGCCCCGCGTCGGGCTCTGTGCTGACTGCCAGCTCAGAGTCTGGGGCCTGTTTCAGTCTGTTACTCCCTCTCTCTCTGACCCTCCCCTGCTCATGCTGTCTCTCTCTCTCTCCTAGAAATAAATAAAAAACATTAAATAAAAAAAAAAAGAAAAAGAAAACTAGTACAGTTTTCAAAAAGAGGGTAACAAATACAACAAAAACAACAAAATGTGAGAGTGGCTTTGGAACTGAGTTAAGGAAGGGGTAGATGGTGAAAGAGACTTGAGGTGTGTAATAGAAAAAAATCCTAAATTGCCTTGAATGGACTGTTAAAGAAAATGTAGACGTAAATTTCACTTTCTGCCAGTGAAAGCTCAGAAAGAAATGAGGAGTATGGTAGAGAAAGCCTGTATTAGCTTAGAGAATATGTAAACCATCATTATTAGATCATTGAGAGAAAGATGGTGACAGGTCAGAGGGAAATGAGGAGCATGATAGAAAGTGAAGGAAAGGAGATCCTTGTTATACAGTGGCAGAAAACATAACTCAATTGTGTGTTCTATAGTTGTGTAGAAATAAGAATTTGTAAGTGATAAAAGCAGATATTTGGCTGAAGAAATTTCCAAGCAACATGTTAAAAGTTCTACCTGGTTCCTTCTTGGTGCTTATAGTAAAATGCAAGAATATAAAGATTGAAAAACTAGTAAGAGGGACACCTGGATGGCTCAGTCAGTTGAGCATCTGACTCTTGACTTTGGCTCAGGTCATGATTCCAGGGTGGTGGGATCAAACCCTGTGTCGGGCTCCATACTGACCATGGAGGTTTCTTAAGATTTTCTCTCTCTCACGCTCTGCCACTCATGCTCTCTCTCTCTCTGAAAAAAAAAAGAAAAAGAAAAAAGGAATCAGGATTGGGTGATTTAGGAAATTTTCAGTCTACCCATATTGCAAAAGATGTTAAAATTAGGAGATTGGCCGCCAGGAGAGCATACCTTGGAGAGAAAGCCAAAAGTATGGTTGGACAACCTTTAGCAAGTAATAGAATTCTGAAATGAAGCCACTATCATTGTTATTACTGGCATTATTTTAAACATTTAATATTATTTGGATTTACTTATATGATTACAAGCTTCTCTCCTTCACACTCATTCTTCTATTTCAGACCTTCTTTCCAGAGTCTTTTTCCTCCTTTCTTACATCATTAGGAATTCCTTGAGACAGGGTCTGTCAGTAGCAAACTCCGTTTTAACCTGAAGATATCTTTACTTCTCCTTCACTGTTAAAATTAAATTTTACAAAGTATGTGATTCTAGGTTGACAGTTCATGCATATCAGCCTTTTGACCACATTTTCTATTGTCTTATGGCTCCCATTATCGCTGTGAGAAGTTGGCTGTCAGTCTAATTGCTGACTTTTTAAGGAATTATTTTTCTGTCAGCAGTTCATAGGATCTAATCTTTATTATTAGTACTTTGTAGTTTCACTACAAGGTTTCTAGAAATGAAGTTCTTTCTGTCAATCTTTCTTGATTAGTTTCTGATAGTTTTTGATTCTTGGATCTGTTGGCTCATCAGTTCTGGAAAATGTTTGGCTATTATCTCCTGCGTTATCTTCTCCTAAGGGAAATCAAAGAGTTATGTCTGGGTTAGGAGATTATAGGGAATGCATTGCAAAGCAGAAAACAGCCTTCTGGCCTTGCTGAAAGCAGCAACCATGCTTCACTTATCTAATTAATGTATATCTAGGGATTAGGTCCTACCTATACTCACAAATTCCTTAGGCCATGTTATCACATGGAATATTTTACTCTGTCTTAACTTGTTTTTCTGCACATTTTCTATACATTCTTACTGGCACGTAACCCACCAATGTATTGCTTTTTGTTTCCCTAGGTGTATGCTCAATAAATACAGGAGCATGAGAGCAGCTTAGGGAGACTTCCCTTAGCCTCTCTCTTACCTCTCTTGACTTGCATGGAGTTCTTTCTGCCATCCTCAGCTTTATTGGACAAAGCCAAAAGCCAAACCCACATCCTCCAACTTCTCTATCCTCTCTTATAGCACTTCTGTTAGATTCCTTCTAGACTTTCTTATTCTACCCTTTGTATTCTGTGACACTTTTAAATATGTTCAACATTCTCATCTCTCTGCAGAAGTTTCTCCTCCAGTTCATTAATTCTCTATTCAACTATGTCTATTTTGCTGTTTAATCCACCCATTGAGTTTTTTACTGAAATTATGATGTTTTAATTTACAGAAGTTTTATTTTGTCCCCTTTTTTAAACATTTATTTACTTATTCTGAGAGAGAGAGAGCAGGAGTGGGGAAGGGGGGTGCAGAGAGAGAGGGAGAGAATCCCAAGCAGGCTCTATGTTGTTAGTGCAGAGCCTGATGTGGGGCTCAAACCCACGAACAATGAGATCATGACCTGAGCCAAAATCAAAAGTCAGATGTTTAATTGACTGAGCCACCAGGTGCCCCTATTTTGTCCCTTTTCAAATATGGTCAATCATTTGAGAGTCTGTCAATTTTTCTTTAAACATTTCATATATAATAAATTTATATTCTATGCTTAACGATTCCAATATATATGTCCTTAGAGGCTTAAATATATTATTTATTATTTCTGTGGACATTCCCTCATGGTAGCTTTTTTCCTAATGTGTGTAGAATTTTTTATTATGAGCTAATATTTTCTTGACCTTAATCTGTGGCATACTGAAGGAGCTAACTTGATATGCTCTCCTCAAGAAAGGTGTCTATTTTCTCTTTCTGGGCATGGGTAGAAATAGAGTAGTCAAGGATTATCAACCAGGTACCACTTTAATTAAAGCCTTCAGGGGCACCTCAGTTGAGCATCCAACTCTTGATTTTGACTCAGATCATGATCTCATAGTTTGTGAGCTTGAGCCCTGCATCAGCTCTGAACTGACAGCATAGAGCCTGCTTGGGATTTTCTCTCTCCCTCTCTCTCTGCCCCTCCCTGGCTTATGCTCTCAGTCTTTCTCAAAATAAACATAAAAAATAAAAATAAACTTTCAATAGCTATATTTGGATAATACTTCTCAAAGGAATTCTCAAAGAAAACTGTTATTTAATCTCTTCTTTTTCTTCCCTTTTTCTCATCACGACAACAGATATCTTTACAGACTCCCTTTGTTGACCAGTGGATTTTTTTTTTCTTTTAGTCTATTTATTTGCTAGGGGTCTAGCCCCTTCAAGAATTCTAGTTTAATGAAGGGGTCTCATTTTTGTACAACTCATGGTATGATATCCTACTAATCTGTGGGGTATTATTAATCTTCAAAGCTCTGTAATTCTGAATCTACACTGCCAAGGTTCAAATTCTGTCTCTACCACTTACTGTATGATGATGGACACGCTACTTAACTTCTCTGTGCTTCACTTTCCTCTTCTATAAAATGCATATTGGTAATAGTTCCTCTTTCATAGGACTGTTACAAGGAATAAATGAACTGATATGAGTAAAATGCTTAGAACAGTACCTGAAGCCATAGAAAGTGCTCAAAAAGTGCTTCTACTTACTTTTGGTATTAGCATGTGCCTCCATGTTGATTTAAGGCTCATTTACTCAGTTTTAGCTCATTGAACTATTTAAAAATGATCTTGAGGATTTGCTCATTTTCTTTCAAGCTGAGCAGCATTTAAAAGAATGTTTGTTATAATTTATCCAGAATCTAGTTTAACTTGTTATAATTTACCCAGAATCTAGTTGAAAAGAGTGTTACAGTTTATCTGGAATCTGGTTGAAAATCCTAGTAGGAAGGCTTTTTTGATGACTTAGTCCCTGTGTTGTAGAGACTGAAATGAAGGAAGCATCTCAAAGGAGTTTCAAGGCTGTGCCAGGGACCTCAGGTCCTTGAACATTTTAAGCTTTCCATGAATAGGAAAGGATAACATAAAATAACAAAGGGCTGCTTTGTTCCAGGTTCTCTTCAGAGGCATGGCCATGAGCCCTCCTTTCTGCTCCAGTGGAAACCCTTTCCCAGCTGCTTTGACAGCTCCCAGTGGAATGGCTACTTTCTTCTTTCCTCTGTACTTAGGCAGCGTACAATTACCTATTACAACATATGGATTATTTTACCTCATTCAACCTTATGTCCTTAGCACATAGTAGTTCTCAATAAATGTTAAATGCATGAGTGAACAAATGAAAGAAAAAGACAATGGAAGAAATAATGTATGAAGAATGAGCTCTTTCTCTGATTTAAAAGTAAAGGTGGGGGCACCTGGCTGACTCAGTCAGGAGAGCATGTGACTCTTGATCTTGCAGTCATGAGTTCAAGGCCCACATTGGGTGCAGAGATTACTTAAATAAGTAAAACTTTTAAAAAACAATTAAAAAATAAAAGTAAAGGTGAAACTTCCCCCACAACTTTTCAACATGCTAAATCTTCATCCACAAGCCAATAGATCAATATTGTTTAAAGACATAAAGATAAATAGCTGAACAAAAAGCAAAAGCATTAAAATTGGTTGCTTCTGAGGAATTAAATCAATAAAAAGTGAGTCAGTGATCTATTTTTCTTTAAAAACCCTCTGTACTATTTGCTTTTTAACAATGTCCTATTTTATTTTTTAGTATGTACATCTTGAAAACAATTGAAATATTTAAAAACAAAGATTAGCCGATTTTGGACCTGCTGTAAAAAAAAAAAAAAAAAAAAAAAAAGCACCCAGCAGTGCATTTGACTTATGAGATTTATTACAATCCTTTTTTATTTTTTAATTTAGTACCCAGAGTCCCAATTTCCAAAGAGTTGTTGACTCAAAGCCAAGTTGACAAATAAGCAGAATACTGAACTTTAATAGGGCAGCTCCAGTGGACCTAGACCGAGTTGAGTAGGCCTACTGACTGGTGCCAGACGGGGCGAAGTAAATTAATTAACTCCATGGTTTTTATGGAGATCTCTTGATACTGAAACTTCTTTCTTCTTTACTGATCCTGTGGAGATGAAAATTGACATCCATAGTCATATTCTACCAAAAGAATGGCCAGATCTAAAAAAGGTAATGGTGATTAATTTACTAAATTTTTTCTGGAACTTCTCCAGGGTTTCTCACTGCCTCTATTACAGATTTATCTCTTCTTTGGGGAATTAGATGTTAAGTTTCTCTGCTGTAGGGGTGATGTAAAATTATTTGCTATCTCTGATTTCTTACTTTTTAAAAATGACTTTTATATTTGTTTTGAAAGAATACTGATCAAAGAAATAGTGCTTCTTAAAATCCCCTTTTCCCCTCAAATGAAGCATTCTTTAAAATTTCTGGACAATTTAAGTCAGGCAGTTTTACTTCCATTTAAATCACATATTCAGCTGCTGGGAGATATGTGCCAACTACAGAATTTAAAGTTACGGCTTCAAGTAAAAGACTATTAAAAATGGAATGTGATAGGCTTCCAGGACTTCTAAAACACATCTCCTTTCCAAAACGTTTAAAATAAGTTTTAGAAGCACCAAGAGATAGCTTTGTGGAATTTTTTTTAGGTCTATTTTAGGACACTGTCTGAAACCTTTCCTTTTGATGTTCTTTAAGCTGTAAATCCTTGTTATGAACTAGAGAGTAGAACATCAAAAAACCCTAGAGAAAATGACATGAAGTCTTTGTACAATGAGTGTCTCTTTCTCTGGATTTCTCAAAAGAGGGAAATTTCCTTTTGTCATTAAAAACTCTTGAATGAATACTAAAAAAAGGAGGCGGGGAACATGAAAGAAATTTACAATTGGCTTGAGTTTTATTTGGGCTAAGTATCAGGTTTTATTCAATCTTCAGCCTTCTCTCGTATTTTCATGCTACTGATAATGTTTCATGTTTTTTATCCCAAGTGGGGGAAAATGAATTAACCCAATCTCTAATTAAAATATGGTTTATTTTGCAAGTAAGTGAAACTATTTTCTTCTCATAGTTGTCTCCTGCGAGAAAGTTAATCTTGTTCCTTTGTCCATTGGCATTTTAAGTAAGATAGATGGTAGACATTTTAGACTAAAAATACAAATGATGCTGAACCATCTTTGAAAGGTTTTTCTGCTATAGCAAGTAGTGAAAACTAACTGCACCAACTGACCCCTCCAGAAGGGGTCTAAGTGCCTATGAGGGGAACTTGCTGCTCTGAATGCTACTGTCTTCATGATGCTTTATTAAAGTGTAAACACCACTTCAAAAGGTTAGTGATGAAGCCCATAGCAGCCTAAAAAGGTGTCTCTTCTTTGCTGAAAGGGGAAAACTTGCTACCTAGTATCCTGTGCCATGATTCCACTTCTTCTTATCTGCCTCCTACTGGGAAGCCTGTCTCTAGTTTGAGCAAAGAAGTTCTCACCAATAGCTAGCCATTTCTAGGTGCCCCCACCTAATGCAGAGCCCTTAAGGCAATGTTAAAACTCTAAGAAACTGAAAGATGCAGAGCTTAGGGAGGCTATAACCATAAATGTGTGCTCTGGAAGCTTCCCAAGCACATGTGCTCCTGGCTCTTTGTCTCCCTTCTCCTTCTTAGCATCTAGCTGTCATCTCAAAAGAGGGGAGGGGCATTTGTCCCAATAAACCAGGCTTCTATCTAGTAGTCTCACATGCTGCAGGCAGATAACTGATACACTTACTAACACTGATGATATAATGAGAGTAATCATAGCCATTATACTCATTACACTTCCAGGGAGCAATATATATATTTGATTCATATAAAATCATATGAATTGCAGGTAAGATTTCTATTATTAACCTCACTGGACTGATGAGGTACCTGAGACTCAGAAATGAGCCTAGAATCCCAGAGCTATATGGGACCTTGGTGGTCCCTCTGTCCCCCAGTACCTCCCTCAACACCAGCCTGTTCCCCAATTCCCCACACTCAGGTAAACCCACTGAGGGCCTTGTCACAGGGTCATTGGAGCCCGACTTCAACTCACAGGTCAAGCAAGTGGATCTGATATGTGGTAGAATTTTTCATTTGATTGCAGGAAAGCCACTGATGAAATAACCAGCAGAAAACAGTTCTATGTTTTCAAACTGGGAGGAGTGAGATAAATAAACAGACATGTAAATAGTACTAGTATCTTTCTCTCTCTCTCCCCACATCCAGTCTGTATTGTTACAGTAAAGTGAGGATTAAAGTGATGTCAGTCAAAAGCAGATTTTCCTTGGTGTTCATGTAGTTCAATAATTACAGTAGATTTTCCTTTGTCTTCAAATTATTTCTTAATGGGTGAAATGTTATTTCAAAACATCAGCCTCTGATCTTTTCTCATCATGTTTTCAAACTTTCCAATAAAAGAATGAAAAGAAGCCAGTACTAGTTTTATTGTAGAAGATGAAGCCCCTTTGGAAGAGCTAATATCTGTTTTCCAACCTGCCTTTCCTTATCAAACATTAATGGACACACCTCAATAACCTTGACCTCTTAATGCAGTGAAGAAACAGAAAAGCAGAATCAACATGCCTGGATTGATAATTAACTAATGATTACAAAGGACTGGGATTTGAGAAATGTTTCCATTTTCACTTGCTAATGAGGATTTTAATCAGACTTATAGTTAAGATCCTTAGGGGGGGAATCTATCTGAGGTGTAAAGAGAGCAGATTCAGGGGGCACTTGATTAAACTGAATGAATCAAGACACCCACTATCTGCTGTCATAAAGAGGAGGATGGTGGCCTAATGAACCATGGTGAAAGTTGTTTCCGATTTATCCACAATGAGATTATTCACAGCAACAACGATGATGATAAGGTCAGGGCTTTTTCTTTCAGAAAGATTTATGGACCACCCATTCTGTGCCCAATAGTAGGATTTACAAAGATTCTTCTAGTTTTAAATGGGGTCAAAAGTTCTGGCCTTCACTTAAAAACTTATATATTTCCATCTTTTTTCATTAGCAATGATTTAATTGCACTTGATCATTGTAAGGTTATAGGTGTCAAAATCCCAGATATAGCCTGACTTTCAAATAACTCCTCTGAGGAAATAGATACCTGGTTTTATCACACAAGAGTTCCTTACTCACCTCATAGAAGTGTGAGGTCCCCAAGACAGTAAATATGCCATTCAGTTCATCTACCTCTGATTCAAATAAACCAATTTCAGAAACATACCTCTTATATATAGAACTGAATTCCCTTGGTTTTTCTAGTTTGTTTTTTATTGTCATGCCCATGTCGTGTCTATGGGACATGGGTCATTGTCTGTCAAACATTTTCAGACTGTAAAAGCCTCCTGGCATATGCTCTCACCAAAATTCTCAAGGTCATAAATTTCAGCCCCCAAGCTTGGTTCAACCTAGGGGAACTATGTAGAGCCTGGACTTGGAGCATTTGCCCTAAATAGGTTAGGCCTTTGCAGGGGGCTTAGGAGAAGCACAAAGTGTTCAAATTTTGTGCTTTCCAAGAATAGGGAAGGAGAAGCACAGGGTGACAAAGAGCTCCTTCCTTCAGAATACTTCTTAATGTCTGACACTAGGGTATGCCTTCTTCTAACACCTATGGATAAAATAGGCTGTCACCACTATGCTACCCCCAGTGCTGCCCTTGTCTGCCATCCCTATTGCCACCAAGCTCAATAGCACAACCATCACCACTACTACCTCACAACCTCTCCCATTGCCAAATACTGCCACTGCCATCCCTACAAACACCACAACCATCACCATCACCACCTTTGTCACCACCTCCTCCACTTCCAGCACCACCAAAGCCACTGTCACCATCATCATGATCACTGTTAGCATTGATAAGGCCCTTTTAATAATCAGGGTCTGGTATCAATAGCTTTCTATGAATTCCCATAAAAGCCTATGCCACAGCTACAGCTATCAGCCTCATTTTACACATAAGGAAACAGTGACTTAGAGATGCTAAGTTACACCAACAAAGTTAAGGATCTTATAAGTGGTTTGTCACGTGTGACAAGATCCCTTTGTTCTGCCTCCCTCTGCCTCTCTGCCCTTCCTCCAATGGAATACTTTAGCTTATGGGTTCATGTTCCTTAGTGAATTAACAAAACATAAGAAAGAGAGTGAGGGAAGAAGGAATAGAGAAGGAAAGAAGAAAAGGAGAGAAGGAAACAAAAAACAAAAACTTCTTCTACAGTAAAGTAAAATTTCAATGGCAAATTTTAATTTGAGAGAAAGTTTGTTTACTCTAAAGTGTAACTGGTTGAGGCCTTATTCTACCCCCTCCTCCAATATACAACTCTCAGCAGCTTTAGCGAGGAAAAGAGAATGAGGAATGCACAATGGTATCAAATGCATGAAAGGAGGAGAGGAGGGTGGAGGAGTGTAGGCAAAGGAGAAACTGGGTCCAGGGAGGAGAAGCTAAGGCCCCTGGTAAATAGTGTCTTCTGCATGCCTACCCTACTACTCCATGTCCCCTGATGTCACTTAGGAAGGAGGCAGGTAGATTTTCAGAGCTAAAATGATTATTTGGAGTTAGAACTCAAGAAAAGACCTTATGCCAAGGTAGAATAAAGCTTGTACAGAATTGGCCAAATCTTAAATCTGACAGGTAGTCCGCAATGACAGACACAGAGACATGCTCTGCTGCAGGCCCAGACCTCCCTCTCTCAGTCTAGAGGTGAGAGGGCTGCTAGGAAGAGGGACTTGCCAAGACCTGGCTCCCTCAAGACAACTTCCCTGTAGCATGGCATGAGAACCAACCACTGTTACCACGTCTCATCCAACTACAACAAGCAAGAAGTTGAGCTGATGTTTAACTTCTCTACTCATAACTACTGACCAGAGCTGTTGATGATATCTTCACATCACTACTTCTAGACCAATACTTTCCCTTCCTCCATCACACTGTGAGAGGCTCTGATCTGAAGCATGGAAATGCAGAACACTGGAAGTTCTTCTCCAATATGACCCCAGACTTTCTTTTCAACCTCCCTCCTCAGACACCATCTAACCCAATAAGTGCTTTTCAAGACTCCCCAGAGATCTTGTGTGTTACTTAACCACAGCATGTCTCCCACACCATTACCCTTTAGTGCTTGCCAGCCCAGCCCCACATGCGAAAGACTGTGCTTCACACAGTCTGGAAGTGTCCTTCACTTTTATTTTCTCTGCCCTAGTAAGGCTGGTTAAGGGTAGGATTCCATGAGTGTCTGAAGAATGAGTGAACAAAATGAGATTTTATTTATTTGTTTGTTTGTTTTATAATAGGGGATGTTTTAACTTTATTTATTTTGAGAGAGAGAGAGAAAGAGTGAGAGAGCATAGACGAGAGAGTGGCAGAAAGAAAGGGAGAGAGAGAATCCCAAACAGACTCTACACTGTCAGCACAGAGCCCAAGGTGGGGCTCAACCCCACCAGCTGCAAGATCATGACCTGAGCTCCTGAGCTGAAATCAAGAGTCAGACACTTAACCAACTGAGCTATGCAGGTGCCCCTCAAATACATTATTCTAAACTATCCTATCCTATCCTTCTATTCTATTCTATTCTATTCTATTCTATTCTATTCTATTCTATTCTATTCTATTCTATTCTATTCCACTCTCCTCCATTCCATTCCATTCCATTCCTTTACTATTTTTAGCTTGGTTTTCCAAGAAGCAGACCCTGAAACAAGGATTCAAATACAAATAGTTTACTTCAAGGGGCACCTAGGTGGCTCAGTTGGTTAAGCATCCAACGTCGGCTCAGGTCATGATCTTACCCTTTCTGAGTTCAAACCCTGCATCAGGCTCTGTGCTGACAGCTCAGAGCCTAGAGCTTTTTTCAGATTCTGTGTCTCCCTCTATCTCTCTGTTCCTCCCCCACTCACACTCTGTCTCTCTCTCTCAAAAATAAATATAACATAAAAAAAAAAATACAAGTCATTTACTTCAGAGGTAATCCCACAAAATGCCAGTAGAAAGGAAAAATGAGACAGGGGAAGCAAGGCAGCCAGTGAAAAGTATAGAATGTGTGCCTCATCTCACAGTCATCACGTCCAAGGGGTGGGGAAAGCAGTGTGTTCAGTGTACTTATATACAGACAACCTCAGTCACTGGTTGAGGAATTTGGAGGCTGGTGGGGGACCAGGAATGGGGACACTAATTTCCTGGGACTTCTGACCTTCTGTAAGGGTGCGATCAAAACTGGCTTCAGTGACAGTAGAGAAACTCTTGTCAAAGAAATGCCGGGGCTGGTAGGTGAAGGAGGGCTGCCATGCACAGGAATGTTAAGGGGAAGGAAGACAGGTGGGACATTGACAGTTGACAGCATCTGCTACACAAACTATTTTGTGTTTTAGAATGTCTGGGTCACTATCCCCTAAACTGACTTCCTGATCTACTACTACTCATGGACTGCAACCTATGGTTTGAAGAGCAGTTCAAGATGGTGTTTCCTAGAGAGCAGTCCTTATGGTCCATGTATTGCTGGTGATCCGTGAAATGACTTTAGGTGGTACATGAACAAGTATGTTTTTTAAATTTTATTTTACAGAGAGACAGTGGCAGGGGGAGGGGGGGGAAGCAGAAAGAGAAAGAGAAAGACAATAATCCCAAGCAGGCTCCACACTCAATGTGAAGCTTGATCCCACAACCCTGGGATCATGACCTGAGCTGAAATCAAGAGTTCAACTGACTGAGTCACCCAGGCATTCCATGAACAAGTATCTTGTAATGTTAATCCTCATTTATTTATTTAAAAATTTTTTAATAATTTTTTTCCATTTTATTTATTTTTGAGACAGAGAAAGACAGAGCACAAGCTGGGGAGGGGCAGAGAGAGAGGCAGACACAGAATCTGAAACAGGCTCCAGGCTCTGAGCTGTCAGCACAGAGCCTGATGTGAGGCTCGAACCCACGGACCATGAGATCATTACCTGAGCCAAAGTCGGAAGTTTAACTGGCTGACCCACCCAGGCACCCCATAAAAAATTTTTTTTAATGTTTATTTATATTTGAGAGAGAGAGAGAGATGGAGAGAGAGATAGAGCACAAGCAGGAGAAGGGCAGAGAGAGAAGGAAATATAGAATCTGAGGCAGGCTCCAAGCTCCAAGATGTCAGCATAGAGCTTGAAGCAGAACTCAGACCCAGGAACCGCAAGATCATGATCTGTGCCAAAGTTGGACATTCAACCGACTGAGCCACCCAGTCACCCCAATGTTAATCTTCATTTAAAAACTGCAACCTACATAAAACTAACATTTCTATGATACAGATTTTTCTTCCTAAATTAATATATTTGAGGAAAAAAAGTAAATTTACTTAAATATCAATATTGAAAAAGTGATACATAGGCGTTGGGGGAGAAAATGAGAAGGTGATAACCTGAAAGGATGGACCTCAGGATCCTTTGCCAGGATCAAAAAAATCCTTTGTTTTGTTCCTCCAGCCTAATTGTGCTTCTCCTCCACAGAGATTCGGCTATGGAGGCTGGGTGCAGCTCCAACATCACAGCAAGGTGAGTTTCTCCCAAAGTGTGTATATACTTTGGACCAGGGACATCCTGAGCCTGAGATGTTCTTGCAGAAAGGCCTCCATGGAGCTCAACTCAGGTCCTCTTGTTGACTTTGTAGTAGGCAAGGGAGCAGCACCGAGTTCCTCAAAATTACTAGGAAAAATGAGGGTGACTTCAAAAAGCAGCATTTAGGAAGTTAAAATTGCAACTTGAGAAGCCATTAAGAAATCTTTTTTTTCTTTTTTTCCTGCCCTAGAATCAATTTTAGCATTTATTGCTCTGCCTCAAGGAAGTGACCTGGGCTCCTTCCACAGGTTATTACAGTATATTAAAGTCAACCAAATAAACAGCATAGTTTAGGTTTGAGCACAAGCTGGAGAAATTAAACACTGGAGACAAGGAGGAGAAAAAGCCATCACTATTAAGAGTTGAGTTTGATAAGAGGAAAAGCAAGAGGAGGAAGGGCTGGGGCAAAGCATTCTGCAAATAACGAGGCCTAAGAGTGAGCTGAAGTCTAGCACTGCACAGAGGCCAGGTCTGACTTCACTTTCAGAGGCATCTTCTGCTCTGGAGGAGTTCAGAGGGAACATTCCTGAGCTTCCCATTGGACACAGACAGGCCCTGGGGGACAGGCCCTGGAGGACTTGTGGTCTGGGGAGGCACAGTTACCATGCGCAGGGGTAACTTGGGAGAAATGCAGATTTGGGGGTCTCAGCCCAGATCTACCAACTCAGGGACTCTGAGGGTCAGGACAGCAATCTGTGTTTTGACAGGTCTTGGTTGATTCTGATGCTTACTCAAGTTTGAGAACCACTGGCTCAGACATTCATTCACTTACTCAGTGATTTATATCAACACCTATTTTGTGGTAGGCCCACCAGTCTAGACACCAGAAATATGATGGTGAGCCAGTCTGAGATACTTGCTGCCCTCATGGTGCTCAAATTCTAGGGGTCAAGATCTGATCACTAGAGAGAATGGAATGAAAAACAGTGTTGTGGTTGGGAGTGAGTGAGGAAGATTCACTAGGCTGGCTGCTCAGGGAGCCAGCTAAGACTTAGATGACGGGAAGGAAAAGGCTGGGCAAGTGTCCCTGGATGAGGAATAGCAGTTGCAAAGCCCACCAACTGAGAAAGAGTTTTGTTCGAGGAACAGAAAGGAAGGGAATGTGGCTGAAATGTAGTGAAAGAAGGAGACGATAGAAGATGAGACTGGTGAGGTAGGCAGGGGCCAGATCATGGAGGGAGGCTGGGGATGTGCTACAGAGTCCAGATTTATTCTCAACACAACACAACTTCTCTGAGGGTCTTAATGGCTTAAAAAGACAATCTTGACTGCTCTGTGGAAAGTGAACAGAGACCAGTAGAGTTTAGGGAGCCAAGGTGGTGTGAAGAAGCTAGAGAGGTGGGCAGAAGCCTCATCAGATGGGGCCTCGAAGGACAGGTTTAGGTCTTTGTACTTGATCCTGAAGGCAGTGGAGAACAAAGAGTTTTGAACACCAGAATCTCTGGAGCAACTCGTTTTCACCTTCATTAAAGAATGCCCACTAAGTGCTGGTTTAGACACTGTGCTACACTTCTCCCATTAAAAGTGCTAGTCCTAGTCCAGGAGCTGATGATCTCAGCTAACCTTAAATCTCCCTAAGGAAGAGAAGAGTCTGAGTGGAGCTGATCACAAGGCTACTGGGAAGCCCCAAGTGCAGGACTGGACAGTCTGTGATGGATGTTGAAGTCCAGTTTGTAACCTTGGTGCTGCATTTGAATGACTTTCATTTCATTTTGTTTTCATGTCAAGAGATTGCATAAACAGTAAATCTCCTAAAGAGAACAGGAATTAAAACATTTCATATCTACTACCTACATATTTCCGGCAAAACTGGATACAATTAAATAGAACAAAACAGGGACACTCTTCCCTCTCTCTCAAAAACAAGTCAAAACACAACAGAACTGGATCCGTATTTATCATAATTATAGTGGTCAGGGATTACAGTCACTGGAAAAACACCATGCAAATGTATATAAATACGGAAGTTAGGCTAAGCAATGAGAAAATCCAGAATTTGGGGGTAGAAATTTCTCTTTGTTCTACTACATTTCTTTGAACAAATATTTTGTAGCCTCCATGACTGATTTACCTCGGAGACTCTTATCCTCTGAAAAATCTTTCCAAAGCATTTCTCTGGTCTTCCCCATGTATTTCTCTTCTTAGCCTTTGGTTTTTCATTGTTCTTAGAATGAATTAAGCTTTGTTCAGAACTAAAACACACAATTTGTATTTATAAAAGTATAGGTAGCAAGCCATTTTGTATGGTCTCCTTTAAGAGCTGTGGGTAGGGGGAGAACACCTGTGGGCATTTCAGAGGGTAGACACAGGGTCCTTTACAAATCCATGGGTGAGAAGCATCGAGAAACATCCACTGAGTGCTCTTCAGGCCCTTGGGAATACAAATACAGACCTATGTGTGCATGTGCACATAAACATATGCATGTGTATGCCTCCATACACACATACACATGATTTCTATCTGTTTAGCATTTTCACACATTCTATTCTACATGATCTCATCAGGTTCCTGCTCTCAAAATTATTTCCCTTATAAAGAAAAACCTGGAGCACCTGGGTGGCTAAGTCAGTTGAGGGTCTGACTTTGGCTCAGGTCATGACCTTGAAGTTCTTGAGTTTGAACCCAACATTGGGCTCTGCTGTCAGCACAGAACCTGCTTTGGGTCCTGTCCCCCTCTCTCTCTGCCCCTCCCCTGCTCATGCTCTATCTCAAAAATAAATAAACATGAAAAAGAAAGAAAGAAAGAAAGAAAGAAAGAAAGAAAGAAAGAAAGAAAGAAAGAAAGAACGAACGAACCTACCCAGTTTTTCATCTGTGTCCCAAGCACAGGACCTTCCATCCCCATAGAGTTGATGCATTCATCCTCCCTTTGTGGATGTGTTCTCCATCCTGGAAGCTCCCAGAACCCCATGCTATTGGGATTTTATGGAGGCTTTCTAATGTAGGCATGTTCAATTATTAACTCTATTTCTAGAAGTGGTGGGAGGACTGGAAATTCTAAGCTTCTCATTATGGCTTGGTCTTTCTGATGACTAGCCCCCATCCAGAAGCCATCCAGAAGTCTACTCAGAGTCACGTCAATAGAACAAAAGATGCTCCTAGTGCTCTACCACTTAGGAATTTACAAGGGTTTTAGCAGCGTATGTCAGGGGTCCAAAGACCAAATACTAAATTAAGAGATGCTCCTAGGGTTCTTATCACTTAAGACATTACAAAAGTTTCAGGAGCTTTGTGCCAGGAACTAGGGGCAGAGACCAATAAATATTTTTTCTATTATCTCTCATTTCATCACTGGGGAGCCAGGAAGCCACTCAAGTGGATAAAGAACACACAGACTGCAATAATTTTGTGCTAACTGAGCAAAAGAAACAAAAATAGTACGGGACTTTAGGAGAGGTGGAAAGCCCAAGACAAGGGGCAATTTTCATGAAATCAAAGAATTGTACAACCATAGGACTAGTGATCATCTAGTCAGTGTTTGAAAATATGGGCTGCAACACAATAGTGAGTCATGATATCAACGCAGTGGGTTAGAGAAGCTTAAAAATAAAATAGACTACAAAAGAGAATAGCAGAATGCATTCATTGTAAGAGTAAATATTGTTTCATGAAACTTTTGTCTCAGTTTGTATCTATATAAATAGATATATTTGGGTGTAATAGGTCACAATGGAAAATACATTTCTTAATGTAGGATCATGGCCAAAACTGATTAGAGCCATTAATCAAATATGACCAGCTCAGAAGCTTGTGTGGTGCAGAGGGATAGCCTGATGGCATTGGGGTTAAGGGGAGAATGGGAATCTGGTGGTGAAACACTGAATCTGAAAGCACATTTCTAGGGGAGTCTGAATGGCTCAGTCAGTTGAGCATCCAACTTTAGCTCTTGTCATGATCTCGAGGTTCTCACAGGTCATATGTTCAAGCCCTATGTTGGGTTCTGTGCTGACAGCTCAGCCTGCTTCAGATTCTCTGAGTGTGTCCTTCTCTCTGCCCCTCCCTAGCTTGTGCTCTCTTCCTCTGTCTCAAGATTAAAAAAATAAACTTTAAAAAAAAAGAAAACACACTTTTAATGATACATGCAATACCAGTCATTGGAAATACCAGCCATATTTGAACTTATTTGTGGATAGTATTAGAATTAGGATGTGAAGAGCACCTGGGTGGCTCTATCAGTTAAGCATCTGACTTTGGCTCAGGTCATGATCTCGAGGTTCTTGAGTTTGAGCCCCACATTGGGCTCTGTGCTGACAGCCTGGTCTCTCTCTGCCCCTTCCTCACTCACTCTCTCTCTCAAAAATTTAAAAAAAAAATTTTTTTTAATTAAAAAAAAGAATTAGAATGTGAAAACCAGAAGTGTCACAGATTAGGGTCTCTGGAAATCAGACTCTGAGGCAGAAATTAGCATGCAGGAGGTTTATCAGGAAATGTCGGACAATGGACACCAGTGGTGGGGTGGGGGTGGTGGTGAAGAGGATGAAGCAGGATAGAACAGAAGGCAATGTTGAGCTGTGATGTTTCAGTGGAGCCTCAGCCAACCCTACAACGAGCTCTGAAGCTAACCTTCAGAATTGTCCCAAGTTGGGGGTGCAGGAGGACAAAAGAGAGGGGCCTTTATACCTCTGTGTCAATCAGTCATTGGAAGTGGGCTGCCCTGGAAATGAAGGAGGACCTGGAGGGAGGGAGGTGACTCTTTTCAGCTGAGGCAATCTTCCTATCTCCCCATAGGGGCTGATAGCCCAGAGCTGTTGGCAACACTCCCAGAAGCTGGGAGAAAAGTTCTTTTATTCCTGCAGGAGGATGTGAGCAGCACATCACACCATCCTGGGAAGAGACCTTAGACATCACTTACTCTAAACCCTTATTTTATAGTTAGAGTCTGAGGTTCTGGGAGGTTAAGTGTTTACACATAGGATCCTGGTCTCCTGACTCCTGCAATACCATGATTTCTATTATGACATTGTGCTCTAGCTTTAAAAATATTAGAGGTATATTTGAAATGGTTTTTCCTGGTGGCGGTTGTTGGTTGGGGAACTCTTTAAAAAAAAGAAAGAAAGAAAATTTGTTTTCTTTTGACAGTTTAGAAAAATGAAATTTTTTGTGGGGGGGGAGGAAGGGAGGAAATGAATAAATTAGAGCAGCTGACTTGGTTATTAGTTTAGTTTAAGATCTTGGTTGATACTGATGTTAATGTTAAAAACATAACCCAAGAGACTCCTCTGTCCCACCCCCAGCACCAAGTGCTGCCTTCTGAGGCACATTTGCAGCTCTGAAAGGATACTAGGTCACCAAATGTAAAGTGAGAGGGATCAGGAATTGATTCTTTACAAGGGCTGTCAGGTCTCAAAATTCTGGCTGAAGAAACAATGAGAATTAGGAGCCTACTATGACACACCACTGCTTCTCTGTGGTACTTTACAGTCGGAAAGCGTTCTATTGACAGATGCTGTCATTCATTAGCCCCACCATGGATCCAACAGTAAGAAAGTGGAGGAGAAGTTTAGTAAGTCTGATTCTCCTGCCATGCAATGAGTACAATCCCCTCAAAAGATCAGAATGTTTAGGAAATGATAGTAACTAACCTTTGCCTACTAGATAGACACAAATTACCAATGTCAGTGTGGTGGTGTGGAAAATGGTTCCATAAACTTGGGTCTTATCCCCACTCTAAACCAACTCAGTGTATGATAAGTCCTTGCATCTATAAGACACAAGTGTTGAACTAAATGACTCATTTCTGCTTTAATGTGCTCTGCTTTGTCTGTAACCAAAACTTACTCATGCATCTCCCAGAGAAACCCAGTTTCTTCCCCTGCCATTGATAATATACAGTAAAATTTCATCCAAAATAATTGAGCATGTGTTCTGACCTGGTGCTAAGTTCTTTACAAACATTCTATTATTGGGACACTTGGGTGGCTCAGTTGGTTAAGGCTCAGGTCGTGATCTCACAGTTCATAAGTTCAAGGCCTGCACTGGGCTCTCTGCTGTCAGCCCAGAACCCACTTCAGATCCTCTGTCTCCCTCTCTCTTTGCCCTTAACCAACACACAATAAAAAAATAAACATCAAAAAAATTTTTTAAACATTCTATTATTGAATCTTCTGTTTCACTCAGTGTTCTCAGCTGCAAACCACAGAACCCACTCTAGCTTGTTTAAGTGGAAAGACCTCCTGGGAGGACACAAGGGCGATCCCAGAGGGTGTGCTAACATGCACAATGTCCAATCATACGGGGGGGGGAGGGGCGGGGGGGGGAGGAGGCTGCCCCAACAAAGATGCAAATGCTGCCTCTTCTGGCCACAGACAGGAAGCTCACACTCATGCTGATTCTGCTGAGACTAGAGACCAAAGTGCTGCCATTTCTGCTCTTGCCATGGCTGATACCTCAGATAGCATCCATGCCAGAAGGTAGCTTTTGCATGCATGTTAGTACCCTTGCTACAAGGAAGGCTGGGAAAGTGAAGCCTAGAATCTCCCTCATAAACTTTCTTCACACACAAAAGTGTTCCAAGGATGCTGGGTGGCCATAAGCATGACAAATATAAGTGTCTACATTTTGCAGATAGAAAAAGTGAGTCTTTGGCCCAGAAATCCCCTAACTTGGCCAATTCCACTGCTAGTAAGTATTTTCATGAGATTTAAACCCAGGTCTGTCAGAATGCATGCTCTTCTAGCACTCTGCTATTCTGGTTACTTTATGGTGTTTAAGCTTTCCTATTTAGGATTTTAGAAAAAGCCTCTAATTTGCCAAATAAAAGTTTATTTTTTGATTTTTTTTCTTTTACCATCATTCCTCTCCCCTCCCTTCTTCACCAAATGGAAAGACATGTGTTCCTATATTCTATTTGTGCAATCAGTATCATTCAAGATTCTTTGTGGCAAACAACAAAACCCAACAATGGTTAGTTTAAGCATAAAAGAAACTTGTTGCAAGTATTTTAAGCCCCTCAAGAATTGCATATGCCTGAGAGAAGGACAAATACCATATGTTTGCACGTATAGGAGGATTAGGAGGAACCTGACGGAGTAACAAGGGGGAGAAGAAGGGGGGAAATGGTAGGGGAAAGGGAGAGAAGCAAACCATGAGAGACTCTTGAATGATGACAAAAACTGAGGACTGATGGATGTGAGGGGGAGAGGGGATGGGCATGGAGGAGGGCAATTGTGGGGATGAGCACTGAGTGTTATGTGGAAACTAATTAACAATAAACTATTAGAAAAAAAAAAAGAATTGCATATGCCTGGGGAACCACACTCATAAGATGTGCAGGTGATTGAAGCCATAGCCAATACCACACCACAGGACTAGCCTGGCGAGGGCTGCTGGCTCCCAGCTGGACACTGGACACTGCCAATGGTACCAGTGCCAACGGACACAGCATGTCACCACTGCTGGCACCACTGGCAGAATAAATTCACTGATCCTGTCTTTTTGCATCACTTGCTCTTGATTAAAACCCAAGCATTGACAGGTCAAGCTTGGGGCACGGAGAGCAAGTATCGTAGCTTTGGGGCTTTATCAAAGGCAGCCTGGGACCTGCCTCCACCAAGATTCTCAGAGGAGATTCCCCAATCTGGGAAGGTTGTTCAGGTGCTGCCAATGTCAGCAAGGGGTGGGAACTGAAATCAATTTTGATGTCCAGAGACTCAACTCTGCCAAGGTATAGACATCTATCTCAGTTAAGTCACTTGCTCAATGACCGTTCCCACAGCCATCAGAAATGAAAACAAAGGGGCACCTGGTTGGCTCAGTCAGTTAAATGTCTGACTTCAGCTCAGGTCATGATCTCATGGTTCATGGATTTGAGCCCCACATTAGGCTCTGTGCTGACAGCTAGCTCAGAGCCTGCAGCCTATTTCAGATTCTGTGTGTTTCTCTCTCTCTGTCCCTCCGATGCTCACACTCTGTCCCTCTCTCTCTCTCAAAAATAAGTAAACATTAAAAATTTTAAAAAAAGAAATGAAAACATGGATGTGAGGTCTTACTTACGCATGCCAGATATGAATGAGCTGCCAGTAAAAAGTAGTTGGCTTTCTCCAGGGAGGAGGCAGGGAAGGTCTTATCCATGGAATAGAAGAGTGGAGAAGGAAGCTGTGGCAAAACTTGTATGCAACTCATGATCAAGCCAAGACCAAGATCATGCCAAGATCAAGGAGGGCAGAGGACTCCACCAAGCAGAGCATAAGGCCTTTGATCACCACATGCCCACTAGGTGATATCATATAGGGCCCAAAGGCAAGCCCGAGGCCCTGAAGCAGCACAGAGGTGGTGTAACCTCAAAGCAGGGGAATATCAGGAGATAGCCTAGTCTCTAACTAGCCATACATCATTAATAGCAAATACTCAAAATAACTAACACTTAACATGTGACAGATACTCCACTGAGTACCTTATATGGATTATCCATTCCATGCTTACAACATCCCTTTAAGGTAAGTACCATTATTATTCCTATTTTAAAGATAAGCAAACTGAGTCTCACAGATGGTTTTTACTTGCTCAAAGCTACAGAGTAAGTGGTAGAATGGCAATTTGTACCTGATCACTCTAATTTTAGAGGCCTGGATCAGACCTTTCCCTTTTTTTAGGCATCATTAAGTGGAAGTCCAATTTAGAGGACCCCCTGCACTGAGTATTAAACATAGTGTACACAGGTAGACATGATGCCTGGTGGAAGCCAGCAGCTCAGCACCAAATTTCATACATGCTACTAAAGTGATTCACTTCATTGCCCACCTCCTACTGCAGGTGTTGATATCAGTGAGCCCTGCTCTGTTAGATAAATCATTTACTGTCACTATCCATCTGTTGCTTCTCTATAAAACAAAACAGTTGGACTAGATGTCTATCTTAGAGGCCCTTTCCAAATCTAAAATGTTATGCATCTGGAGTTTTCCAGACACTGGCCCATCCTCTCAGGTCTTGTAGCCAGTAGTTCAGATCAGCAAGGTAACCAGGCATCCTCAGTATGCAGCCCCAAAAGGCTATGGCCATGAACTTGTTCTCTCTGTGCCCAGCCACAGACACTCACAGAACACACCTCTTTGATTCAAAGACAACATTAAGACATGAGGATGAAAAGCTGAGGCCTGTTAAATGAACAGACTTCTACTTCTTTGAGGATTAAGTAAAAACCCCTAAAAACATTAGGGGAGAACCATGTTCCAAAGCATACAAGGAAGAATAAGCAAGCTTAGGTCACCTTTTGCTGATGTGAGTTTTCGGTCCTAGGGAGAAGCAAAGATGCTGAAAGATGGGAAGGTCTTCAGAGTGGTCCAAGAGAACTGCTGGGATCCAGAGGTTCGTATTAGAGAAATGGACCAAACAGGTACTTAAAACAAGAAATGCTACCAATGTTTGCATCTGATGTAAAAGGAATGTCTGTCTCTAAAACCCATTGACCACCACTTTGTGTGATTTATGTGATAACAGCTTCTGATTGCCTTTTCTCCATGAGCCAGCCTATTACAGCTTTGTTGGAGTAGGTATGGGACCTTCCACTTACAATGTTTTTAGAGTGTGGATTTAAAATTTTTTTAATTAGATATACCCTGTTTTAAAGTAGAATGCTATATCATCAAAAAGGTAAAAGTGTTATTTTATTATTTTAAATTGTTTAAGTTCAAATGTCTTTACTTACTATAAAGTCAACTAAAACAGTAAAAATTAGAATGTACAGATTAAGGACGCCAATTGCTTGCTTAGTCAGATTCAGGATCCATTTTCTTTCTATAGTTTATCTCAGTATACAGTACACAGAACATCCTCACTGATATGTAAGGGCGGAAAGGGTAAGAGTTTAAAAGAAAGTTAATTGTATAGTCTCAGAATACTTTACAATGAAACTAATCCAGAACTCCAAAAGAGAAGAATTAGGAAATTCTTATTTCAAAGCTGAATCACTAACAATTTCTAAGAACTGCTTGATTTTCCTTTTCTCATGTTTAAAAAGCAAATAAGTCCCCCAAATTTAAAAGAATTTCAGGGCCACCTGGGTGGCTCAGTCAGTTAAGCATCCAGCTCTTGATTTTGGCTCAGGTCCTGGTCTCACAGTTAGTGAGATCAGGCTCCATGTCAGGCTCTACGCTGACAGCATGGAGCTTGCTTGGCACTCTCTTCCCTCCCTTTCTTTCTGACCCTCCCACACTCTCTTTCTCTGTCTCAAAATAAATAAACTTAAAAAAAAAAGAATTTCAAAGACTATCTAAGAAAGGTATGATGGCCATGTTGTGCTTTCACTTATTACTACCCGGTTGACTGAGCCACCTGAGGAACTATGCTTCAAGAAGCTGCACTTAGCCTTCTGGACATGTGAGAGCCGTGTCTCTAGGCTGTGACGGGGAACTCACCACCATAACATTATCAGGCCTAAATTTTGTCATTGGTGGTCTAGATTTAAACCAGAAAACAAAAAAATATATATACACAAATAAAAGAGCAGCTTAGAACTATCACTTTCTTTATCAAAGACAAATTTATAAGAACTTCAAATATATACAGAGAGAGCAGAAGAAGTTTTATCCAAAATCTGCAGAAAATGAGTAACCTGCCAACCGCAAATGAGGAGGTAGTCTCTAGCATGTTTGATTTTGGTTTGATTTGGTGCAGGATGGGGGTTCCTGGGTCGCTCAATATGTTCAGTGTCCAACTTCGGCTCAGGTCATGGTCTCATGGCTCATGGGTTCGGGCCCCACATCTGGCTCTGTGCTGACAGCTCAGAGTCTACAGCCTGCTTCGTATTCTGAGTCTCATTCTGTCCCTCCCCTGCTCGTTCTTTCTTTCTCTTTCTCTCTCCCTCTCTCTCTCCCAAGAATAAATAAACATTAAAAAAAATTTTTTTTTAAGAATTTGGTCTAGAATACTTTTGACCAGGTACTGCTTTACACATGTTTTTAAACAATTAAAAGTATATTTAGATGGCATTCAGGGGTGCTTGGGTGACTCAGTTGGTTAAGCATCCAACTGCTGGTTTTGGCTCAGGTCATGATGTCACAGGCTTGTGAGTTCGAACCCCACACTGGGCTCTAAGCTAGCAGTGCAGAGCCTGCTTGGAATTCTCTCTCTCTCTCTCTCTCTCTCTCTCTGTCCCGCCCCACATGCTCCCTCTTTCTCTCTCTCCCTCTCTCAAAATAAATAAAGTTAAAAAAAATTTTTTTAAATGACATTCAAATTGAACTTTGCAGAAAGTCTGAAGGACTTCTGTAGACCATTCCACAGAACACAAGAGTACATTCCCCTATTCTAGAAGTATATGGGGTGGAAGGGGAGCAAGACAGAAAAGGCTTCCCAGACCTAGAGCAAAGAGCAAGGTTTTGCTCTAAATGTGAAGCTTGAGGGGCACCTGGGTGGCTCGGTTGGTTAAGTGTCTGACTTCGGCTCAGGTCATGATCTCGCAGTCCATGAAGGAGGCTAAAAGCCCCAGAGAAGTCAGAGGGATGTGACCACATACCCGCTCACATTTAATCTTCCCTGAACATCCCACACAGTACCTTTGTTACTTAAGGGGTGCAAGGAGGTTAAGCAATTTGCTCAGGATCACACAGCTAGTAAATAGCAGAACTAGGATTGTATCTAGAGCTGTTTCTCTGATTCCACCACAGAAGCTTTGCCCAAACCTCTTTCAGGATAAGGATCGCCTGTGGCACTTGCTGAAATTCTTTTTCAGGCCCTATTCCACTGAATATTCCACTATTTCCCATTCCACTGAATCAGAATGTCCAAAGGAGAGCCTAGGCATTTGTTTCTATAACAACATCCCTCACCATTTTAATCAACAGGTAAATTTGGGGAACATCATGCTATGTCATAGGGTTAAAAACCCCTCTTTTAAAATGTATAAGCTCCAATTGGATTAGACTTGTTTTTTTCCCCCTTTCAGTTCCCAGAGACCGAAGAATACGTATCCAAACCAACCAACTCACAAATTGTGCAATTTACTATGCTAATATGAGATATATGCTATGTAATGGCCACTGGGGTGTAGAGATGGAGTAACATTGGACAGAAGCCTCATTCCACCACTTTTAAGCCATGTGACCTTACATCTAAACTACAAACTGCAGAAATGAAATAGAGCAATGTAAGCAAAAATACTCAGGGAAATTGTAAAGATGTTACAATTGAAAGGAGCTCATCTATTTTCTACTAATCAATGAACATAAACACTAATCTTGTGACAATGTTTTGACAGTGTTGTCTAATCAAACACTGTCAGCTCTAGTCCTCGCTACATAATGGTTTATTCTTTCATTCATCGGGTCTGCTCAACATGCCAGACACCTCTCTGGATGCTAGAGATATAGACAGGCTCATGTGGGTTATATCTTCAAGGTGAGGAAACCACAGAGTGAGCCACTAAACACAGTAGTAACAGACTGCATAGAAAAGGAAAGGAATGGAACAATGGGCTAGAGAGTGGCTGGAGTTAGGGAAGGTCTCTGAGGAGCTTACATTTCAATTAAGAACTAAGGGTGAAAAGGAGCTCATCCTATGATAAGCCAAAAGAAGAGCATTCCAGGCAGGTGGAACAACAGGGCAGGAAAGCACTCCAATGAACAGGCAGTTGGCCAACAAAGAGCAAGAGCAATGGGAGCCCTGGGAGAGCCTGTGTGGGGCCTCCTACACCGTGTTCAAATCTAGATTTTACCCTAAGTGTGATGAAAAGTCCTTGGAAGTTTTAGGCAAGGAAGTGACTTGATCTGGGTTTTAACCCTTACTCTGATTTTCAAGTGGAGAACAAACTGTAGGAGAACAAGAATGATGGTAGGAGACCAGTTTGGAGCTTCTGCAATGGACCACGTATGCTTGTGGCTTGGACCAGGTAGTAGCAGGAAATGGGAAAGATGGGCAATGAAAGGAATTGGAGAAGCACTAACAGGACTGGCTAGGGGTTGGATGTGGGTAAGGCAGAAAGAGGAACCAGCTCAGTTTGGCAGCATCTCTCCTAATAACCTCAGCTCCAGGAGCTTGACGACAAGAGATTTTAAAGGCATTCTGGTTGCTGGATTCTGGGGCCAAACCCAGAGACCCATGCTGGGCATTCCATTTCAGACAGTGGGACTCCAACCAGGAGGCTCACTTAGGAAATGAATTAAAGGGGAAGGTGGCTGAGAAAGTCTCTGTCATTCATGGCCTAAAATGAAAAGCTCTGAAAGAATTAATGGAGAAATGTCTTCCTTAAATAAAACTTCACAGGAAGGAGGGTAAAAATAGCCCTTGACAAATGGGGCAAATTAATTTTTTCTCGAATGATGTCCTTTTTGTCCAGCCTTCATCCGTCCCCCTAGACTTGGGACTGAGGGAGAAGGGAGGCCTGCGGCAGAAAGCCTGAAAGGAGGGAGACAGAGAGGAAGAGCAGGGGAGGGGAGACTGAGATGGAGACTTGCTGGGCCTGGGGAAAGGCAGGAGGAGTGCCTAGACTATTCTTCTCATGGTCTTTGCCTTTCTTTGTGTCTGTGTCTAGGGGTGACCGTGCAAGCTCTTTCCACAGTTCCTGTCATGTTTAGTTACTGGGTGAGTGTGAAACCTGAAACCATCTCCTTGGTGGGGAGAGGCTGAGTCAGTCTCACTAGAAGTAGACAGATGCCTCAAGTCTTGATATCACCCCACCACCACCAACTCTCCTCCTCTTTAGAGACCAGCAGGGACCCCGCCCCCCCCCCAGCTTCTCACACTGCAGCATCACCTCCCAGGCCTTCTCCCTAGTCATGTTCTTTCTCTAAACCTACACCATCCAGAACAGTAGTTAGGGGCCACGTGTCAAAATGTGACTCACATTACATTTCCACTGATCAGGGAAGTTGCAGACTCAATCTTAATCCCATCAGAACTTGCCTGTCTCATGATTCACTCCTGCAGTGTCTTGCTGAGTAATTGACAAGCCAGTTTATTCTGAGATGACAATGATTGGGGAGTGAGAGAGATAATAATGACCTCGTAGTTGCCTCTCGCAGGGAAATATGCAGTTCAAAATGGGATTCCTGCAGTTGGATGCTTTTCCCCAAGTGATTAAGTCTCAAATGCTGTGTTTCAGGCATAATCACAAGCCTGTTGAAGGTCATTTTTGTACACAGTTGGGGGTGCACTAAGTATCTACTCAACGAAGTAAATATTCATTTGTGTTGTGATTTAAGGAGCAATGGAAATAGCACCTGCTCCCAAATACTTCCCATACCTGTGCTCATAGTTCAGCATTAGTGTTTAGTCTTTATCTGTTCCTGTGATTAGACTCATTCTTTAAAATAAAAATGCCCTGTAGTATTCCATGAATACTACATGGCAATGAGAAACAATGAAATCTGGCCATGTGTAGCAACATGGATGGACCTTGAGGGTGTTATGCTGAGCGAAATAAGTCAGGCAGAGAAGGACAAATATCATATGTTTGCACGTATAGGAGGATTAGGAGGAACTTGACGGAGGAACAAGGGGGAGAAGGGCGGAAATGGTGGGGGAAAGGGAGAGAGGCAAACCATGAGAGACCCTTGAATGCTGACAAAAACTGAGGACTGATGGATGTTGGGGGGGGGGATGGGCATGGAGGAGGACACTTGTGGGGATGAGCACTGAGTGTTATGTGGAAACTAATTTGACAATAAACTATTTGTAAAAAAAAAAAAATGCCCTAAGATTTCAATATGCCCAAACTTAAAAGATTGCATGCCATTTTGACTGTGCAACTGGAATTTCAGGAGAGTACAAATTCCTGGCAGTGGGGGGAAGTTAAAAGGAAAGAGGATAATGAAGAAGGGAGAGTTAGGGGAACAGAGAGCCAACCATCTGCATTTAGCATTTTGCTAAGGTAACTTTTGAGTGTCACCACCAACGGGAAGGATGGGGAGGAACACAGACAGAGACAGGAAAGGATCCATGATGAGGCATGAGAGGGAGGTGTACTGCTGGTGGTGTCCTGCTTGGAGGAGCTGTAGTGCTCTGTGTTCAGCCTTTCAGGCCTTTTCTGAGCTGTGGTGGGTGGGGGAGTGTGGCCCATCCTCATTCCATCTCTTCTACAGAATGACAGCAGGCCCAGTAATTGTGTCCATCCCTCCCAATGATAGTTTCAATTTTTCTCATTAATCAGCAATATACTAGCTGTTTTCTGCTTCAGGGCCCCTTGCAGCCAGTGCCTATCTGAATCTGTGCCCCAGCTTGCTGAGTGGTAAAGCCATGGAGAGTGACAAATAGTTCAGCCCAAGGGAGGGGTTTCTCAGAGCAAATAACTAAAGAAGTAGGTCTTGAACAATATGGTTCTCCCTTACCTGTTTCTTCCAGGCCAAACCTCAGGACACTTTAGACCTGTGCCAGCTTTTAAACAATGACCTAGCTGCCACCGTTGCGAAGCACCCCAAGAGGTTTGTGGGTCTGGGGACATTGCCCATGCAGGCCCCTGAGCTGGCCGTCAAGGAGATGGAGCGCTGTGTCAAGGAGCTGGGTTTTCCCGGGGTCCAGATTGGCTCCCACATCAACGAGTGGGACCTGAATGCACAGGAACTCTTCCCCGTCTACACAGTGAGTATGCAATGCTTGCTCAGCCACCGTGCAGCCAGGCCAGGTACTGTGCTCAGTGCTGGGGGACAGAACATCAGTGTGCCACTCCCCTGGCAGAGGGAGAGAAAGATGCCTGATGGCATGCTACACATAGCAAAAAATGTGGACAGTTCCCCAAAAGGAATGGGCCATCCCACTAGAAGCGGGCCAAGTAGAAATACTTCCCTGATCAGCCCAGAGTTGGTTCAGGGAAATCTCTTTTACTTTCCATCACCCATGCTCTCTTCCTACTCTTTTATTTGGAAGCTGAAATATGCTTATTTCATAATAATGCATTCAATACCCTTATCACTGCCATGGTGTAAAAGACCATGTTAGTGACATGCAAAAAAAAATTATTTTGCCTTAGGAAAAAAAAAAACTTTTTCAAATTATGAAGTGATTTTGAAGAAATTCTGGAAAATACAGAAAAGCATAAAGAGAAAAACAAAAATAACCCATAATCCCACTACCCAAAGGTAAATGACCACTGTTATTATATATTTCATTTGATTCTTTGCTTGCATGTTTCTGCAAATATCTATATTTTGAAGAAATCTGAATTCTACTACACATGTGATTTTTATCCTAACCAAAAATTTCCAATATAAATAAAAATCTGTTAATGTGTGGTTTTTAAATAACTGCATAATATTCCAACATACAGATATGTTTTCATTTATTTAACCAGTCTGCAATTAAGATACTTCTAAGCCATATATTTTGAAAGTGTAATTAAAATGTGTAATACAAAACAAAGCCACCAAAATGCTAACGTTTGATGAAACTCCCTGGTGAGTATATGGAAGTTCATGGTACTATTGCTTACAACTTTCTATTTTTGAAATATTGCATTATAAAATATATTTTTAGGAACTCAGAGCCATTTTCATCTCTTTAGTATCCACCTAGAGTGCCCACAGTCCCACGGTCCTCTCTACCAGTCTTCCTCACCCTGCTGTTCTTTCCGCAAATAAATCTGCTTTTCTTAGTATCATAAATCAAGGTGCATACTTCTATATTCAATTGCACTTTCTTATTTCTTCTCTCCTAGAATTATAACAATATTGTTTTCTATCCTTTTCATTGTAAATGGAAAATTTTCAATAATGCATTAAATAGATGTAGGTGGACTCATCAGGCACTGTAATCACTGATCATCTATGTATTCCTTTGATATTTATTGAACTCTGAGACATGCAAAAATGTTTCCATGTCTTTTATCTATGAATGCTGCCCACCAACTGGGGAGTGGGGTATCTGTTAAATTGCCTCCTAAGTAACCTGAAAGATTTAATGTTCCTCTAAATACTGAACTCCCTGAAGATTTCTGGCGACAGTGACTGAGCTGATGCAGTGAATGTTTTCTATAAACTTTAATGGGCTTTGAAAGAGGATTTATTTACTTGTTCACACTTGTGTGTTTCAACACAGTGTGAGCAAGCCTTCAGCTGCAAGTCATTTTATTATTCACTAGGATTGGGTTTATGAATTACTAAGGAGCTCAAAAAGCAAGAGCTGCCAGTTGCCTTCCAAATGGATATTTTCCATATGACTAGCTCAATCCATCATTCATTCTAAATAAGCTGTTTTGGGCTCTGCTGGTCTCCCAGGGGATTCAGAAGAGCATCCCGGCCCCAGCTGACTTGTGACGTCCTAGGGATGGCAGCACATGTCCTTGGTTAGCAAGACTTGGCAGCTTCACTGGTCTCTAGCTAGTGTCAATAACATGGCTGAAGCAAATGAGAGGAGTCACCATGAGCCAAGTTGACTTTGTCACTTCAAGGGTATCCTGGAGTTCCAAAGTGTTTAACCATCCCCTTCATCTCCTAGACCACCCTTCTTAGTGAGTGAACCCAACCATACGTGCTCAGGTCAGTTTTCAAGCACAAAAATGACCTTGTTACAAGTATGAGGCAGACAGACATAGTAGCAGATCACCTGCCTCTCCCATTTATCAGCCACAAGACCTGAGTGAGTTACCTAGCCTCTATTTGTCTTAGTTTCTTTCTCTGTAAAATGACAGAAATAACAATGCTGATCCCAGAAAGTGTAATGTTAAGTGAAATAAGTCAGAGGAAGACAAATGCCATACGATTTGACTTATATGTGGAACCTAAAAGACAAATGAACAAACCAAAACAGTAACAGACCCAATAAACACAGCTGACAAACTAGTGGCTGACAGAGAGGAAGAGGGTACAGGATAGGCAAACTGGGTGAAGGGGCGGAGGAGGTACAGGCTTCCAGTTATGGAATGAATAAGTCACGAGGGCAAAAGGTACAGCACAGGAAATATAGTCAATGATATTATAATAGACTTGTATTGTAACAGAAGGTGGCTAGCTCGTTTGAGCACAGTGTAACATACAAAGTTGTTCAAATTGCCATATTGTACACCTGAAAGTCATGTAACATCGTGTGTCAACTATATTTCAATTTTTCAAAACATTCATCTTATAAAGGATTAAATTAATCAATAATTGTAAAATTCTTATAGCAGCTTTGGCACATGGTAAGTTCTCAGTTAATGTGAGTTATCATGATTTTGAGAGTTTAAGTGTCTTTTTGTGTTCTCTACAATGCCTCACATACAGAAGGGATCAAAAATATTTACTAATTTGAATTGAATAGAAATGTACTGTCATAGGCACATAAAGTTACATCCTAATGAGGAGTCAAATCCCACAGAGATACCATGATTTTGTAATTTTGTCAAGTCAGCCCATCCCAAGAAGATGACCCCGACTACACCCATTATCAGAAACTAATTAGCTCCTTTCCCTTCTGCCCCCAGAACCTGATGAATTAGAAACGCTTTCTCCAACCTACTCTTTATCTGCTACTTCCAGAATCCCTTATTGTCCAAGAATTGCTTCCCCATTTTATTTTTTTATTTATTTCATGTTTATTTATTTATTTTGAGAGAGAGAAAACATTTGCATGAACAGAGGAGGGGCAGAGAGAGAGAGAGAGAGAGAGAGAGGAAAGAGGGAGAATCCCAAGCAGGCTCTGCGCTGTCAGCACAGAGCCTGATACAGACCTCAGTCTCATGACTGTAAGATTACAACCTGAGCGGAAATCAAGAGTTGGACACTTAACCAACCCAGCCACCCAGGCACCATGCTTTTCATTTTAAAAATGCTGAAGTCCAGAACTCACATTGCATCAGCCCATTTAACCCACATATTAATATGTAAAAGTAGGATGAATCACTCCAGCACCTCAATATATTTGGGAAAGATGCATTACGGAAAATCTGTTTTGAACCTTGTTAAGTACTCATACTTAATGCCTACTCAGGGGACTTTTTTAAATTAAACATTTTGTTGCATAAAGATCATTCTATCCAGATAGGATTTCTACTTCCAAGAAGGCCCTGGAACAAGTTTGCCCATGACAGTCATCTCAGTACCTGCCCAGCTGAGGCACTGAGAGCGCTTGACTTTCTAAAGTCATCTCATTCTCAACAGACTATTCAGGGACTCAGCTGGGCTCCTAAGGCTTCGTGAGTATCCAAAGGTCCCCAGAAATTCCCATCTGGTGTCAGGCTCTGAGTGGCTGATGGCTTGGGTCAGGCCAGCCTGCTCCAGCCCAGTCAGGAGCCTCTGGCCACCAGTGCATCACTTCTTCACTTTCCACATCCTCAGGTTTCTAAGTGAGGAGAAATCAGGGGAACACACTAGTCCTGACTGTAGGGATACAATATGAACAGTCCTTCTAAAAGAATGGATAAGTAGGAAGTAGCAGGGGGAATTTCTCTTGCATTTGAGATGTTGGATCAGTCCCTAAGCATTTTGCTCTCAGCCAAAACAGCTGAATGATGGATGCTTCCTGTGACTTTTTTTGCCAAACAACATACTAAATTCATCAACCTCAAAGGTAAATCCACCAACCCCCTTATTAATTTTAAGCGACATTTTTATTTTCTAAGCAGGAGCAGAATTTCTCAATGACTCTTTTATATAGATCAAGAAACAACTTCAAAAATATTTTAGCTTATTGGGGCACCTGGGTGGCTTAGTCGGTTGAGTTTCCAACTTCAGCTCTGGTCATGAACTCATGGTCCATGGATTTGAGCTGCGTGTCAGGCTTTGTACTGACAGCTCAGAGCCTGGAGCCTGCTTTAGATTCTGTCTCTCCCTCTCTCTCTGCCCCTTCCCCACTCGTGCTCTATCTCTCGCTCCCTCAAAAACAAATAAATAAATAAAAACAAGGGGCGCCTGGGTGGCTTAGTCGGTTAAGCGTCCGACTTTCGCTTAGGTCATGATCTCGCCATTCGTGGGTTCGGGCCCCGCGTCGGGCTCTGTGCTGACAGCCAGCTCAGAGCCCGGAGCCTGTTTCAGTCTGTGACTCCCTCTCTCTCTGACCCTCCCCTGTTCACACTGTCTCTCTCTCTCTCTCTCTCCTAGAAATAAATAAAACATTTAAAAAAATAGATTAAAAAAATAAAATAAAAATAAATAAAAACAAAATTAAAAATATTTTAGCTTATTTACTCAGATCAATATAGACACAGAGAAAAATAATTTTCCTAAAATAGTACCCTATATTTGCTGGTTCACCCAAATAACTCTCCCCTTCTCTCTCTCTCTCATTGCTTCTTTAAAGGTAGCTGAAAAGCTGAATTGTTCCCTATTTGTCCACCCCTGGGACATGCAGATGGACGGACGAATGGCCAAATACTGGCTCCCTTGGCTTGTAGGTCTGTGTCAGCTCAGAGTCTGGAAAAGAGAATAAAGCCTTTGGTTTTTTTTCCAGTTATCTCTGGAACACTAATATGTCAAAAAGAGTAGTGTGAATAATGAACAGGATTGTGAGTTGTTGAGCTTTTAGATAAGTGATATATATATTATCTTATTTAATTTTACTCAGATCCACACAAAATTCTTGAGGTTAACATCATAATAACCACTTTATAGGTAGAGAAACTGAGTCTTGGAGTGGTTAGATAAGTTGTCCAAGTCATACAGTTAATAAGCAAAAATGGAATTTACACAACTCTGTCTGACTTCAAAGCTACCTCACTACACAGACTCCCAAAAAGGTCCCCAAAATAAGTAACCATGCCTATCTAATAGATTTTTTTAAGGAACCAATAATAGCATCAGCTCTTACAAATGAGAACCCTGGAGTTACAAGTACAAGGTCAATTTCGAACACCGAAGGATCTGAGGCCCTAGATCGTAGATGACCCAGGCTTTTAATTTTCCTGTTATCTGCGCCTCTCTTCTGCTCTTTGTTCCTGCACTATTCATTCACAGTTCTACATGAGCAGGAAAGGAGAGGGAAAAAGGAGAGACCTCTACTTGGCCTATCCAATTTCTTCTTATTATCTCTGATAACAAGAAATGGAGACAGGTGTGACTGTGGCCACAAGTAAAAAGTGCAGCTCATCTATAAACCCAATGAATAGTGGGGTTCCCAGATGAACAACCCTGGGTTTTCTTTAGGGAGGCCATTATCCATTCTCCCCTCAGCCCAATTAGTACAAGTAATTATAAAGGAATCACCACAAAAAATTAAATGAAGCAATATATTGAAAGTAAGAAAACTGAATTTCAGTTCCAGCCAGTCTCTATGTCTCTGTATAACATGTGGCAAATCATTTTACCTTCTTAGGCTCATTTCTCATGTTAAAATGGGAGAAGCTGGTCTGGATTATCTTTCTGCTCTGACATTTTATGCCTCTGTGATTTTTTTTTTTGGAGACCAATGTATCTAGTAAGGCAGCTTCCTACCCATCCCCCACCAAATTCTCGAGCAACAATAAAAAAGAATAGATAACCTAAGGGGCACCAATGCTGTCCAGCTCCAAAGAAAATCTTATCCTAATGCAACATAACACTTTGACAAGTCCCACAAACTTATTTACATTACAACCTCCCACATGAAAAACAGAGAGAACATATGCATAACGAGACATTTCATCATTCATTTATGCAACAGATAAATGTTGATCCTCTCTAGCATGATGGGCCCTGTACCTGGCACTATGGATACTGACATGGACAAAACCTCTGCCCTAAAGCCTGTGTTCTGGTTAGACGAAAGAGCTGACAAGCAAATGTATAGACCATAAATAAACAAACAGGCTAATTTCAGAATTCTATTGTGGATGGAGAAGTGGTCATTAGCAGATTAAAGAATTGCCAGCAGGGAAGGGCCAAGATGCAACGGACGCTGAAAATATTCCACTTTGGCTCCTGTATGGAGAATGGATTATGCAATTATGGTCCAAGTAATTCATGGAAAGCAGAATTACAGGACCAAAAGGAAGTGATGCTGTCCATCTCCATCCCCCAGCTTCAGGAAGCTCTGCCCACAAACTCCTCCCCTGTGGACATGAATCCATTGTGCTTCCAGAATTCCCAGAAGGTCGGGAAGCCAGAGACGTCTCTGTCCATAGAGCAATGAGACGCTTGGAGCAGGATGAGCATCTAGTAAAGCCCCATTTGGCGGCCAGAGAGTCAGTCTTCCCCAGAAGGTACAGATTTGCATGTGGATCTCCCAGAGATTTTTTTAAGTCACAGTCTGAATAGCAGTTGCCTGGAAATGTAAACCAGACTAACTGTGGAGATAAAGCTGTCAGCATGGAAAAGCTGCTTCTTCTAGGAGCACAAAGTGCTTGAAATAATTCATTTTAATCTAGTTATTTTCAACCTCATCTCTAAGAAGCAGCAAAGATTTGGCAGGAATTATAGTTTTAGTTAATATTTATCGAGCACTAAGGAGCAAGAACAAACCCATTCTACATATGAAGAAACTGAAGCACAGAAAAGCAACTAATAATTGTTGTGCACCTCTCATGTGAAGCTCTGGCTGGAAACTTTCCCAACATCATCGTTTGCAAGGTTCCAAATAGTCTTGCAACATGGGCAACAGTGTCCCCATTTTATAGGTGAAGAAGCACAAGTCGGAGGATGTTAAATAATTTGTCAAAGGGCCAGGAAGCAGCACTGGGTGTTATATGGAAACCAACTTGACAATAAACTACATTAAAAATAAATAAATAAATAAAAATAATACAAAAAATAAAAATAATACAAAAAATAAAAATAATACAAAAAATAAAAATAATACAAAAAATAAAATAAAATAAAATAAAATAAAATAAAATAAAATAAAATAAAATAGAATACAATAAAAAGAAATTCTGTAGGGACACCTGGGCGGCTCAGTCGGTTGAGCATCTCACTCTTGATCTCAGCTCAGGTGATGATCTCAAGTTTGTGAAATCAAGCCCTGCCTCAGACTCTGCAAGCTTTCCTTCTCTCTCTGCCCCTCCCCCACAAAATAAATAAATAAATAAACCTTAGAAAAAAAGGGGAAAAAAAGGCCAGGAAGCAGAAGATTGGAAGGGTTAGGGTTCAACCCAGACTCATTTACTCTGCTTGCTCTACCACATCCGAAAGTGAAGCTGGAGGAATCAGGACAAAAGCTGGGTCTTCTGGCTCCTTGACTGTGTTGGCCATTAAATGACTCCCCCTGCAAGGGGCACACAGGAAGCTTCAGATGGTCTGCTTGCCAAAGTAAAGGCTTGTCCACAACCAAGCCATGCTGAGGCAGCAGGACCTCATGTTTGTCACAACCACAGCAAGCTGCCATTCCCCAACCACTAGCATCACCGAGCTTCTCGCTTGAGATGACAAGCCCTGTGTCCTGTGACTGTTTCCTCTTTTAGGAATGCCAGCAGAGACCACCATGGCCATCTGCTCCATGATCATGGGAGGAGTGTTTGAGAAATTTCCTAAACTCAAAGTGTGTTTTGCACATGGAGGTAAGACCCTATCTGTATTACTCAGCTCGAACTACCATAACAAAATACCACTGACTTGGTGGCTTAAGCAACAGGACCTTATTTACTCACAGTCCAGGAGTCTAGAAGTCCAAAATCAAAGAGCCGGCAGGTTTGGTTTCTGGTGAGACCTGTCTTCCGGGATGACACGAGGCTACTTTCTCACTGTGTCCTCACATGGCCTTTCCTCTGTGCATGCACAGAGAGACAAAGATTTCTGGGGTCTCTTCCTCTTCTAACAAGAACACTAATCCTATCAGATTAAACTTATTAAACCTTATGACTTCATTTAACCTTAATTACCTCCTTAAAGGGCCTGTGTCCAAATACAGTTATATTGGGGGTTAGGGCTTCAACATATTAATTTGAGGGACATAATGCAACCCATAACACGCTTGCAGCTATCATTCTAGTCATAAAATATATGATGGTTTGGGGACTAAATTCCATTTTTGTAGTTGGTCAAGTTAGTTTCGTTGGCATAGTTTTTATTTTGTTTAAATCCCTCTCGTCAGACTACAGGCTCTCCAGTTTGCAATAGCCCCTACCATTCACTATTATTTACAAATTGGCCTATTTCAGTCATTTACATTTCCTGCTTGGTCCTTGTAGGAACTGGAGTTTGTGACTCTTGGGCACACACACACACATACCCCCACAACCACCACTTTTGATGGTTGCATACAGGGCAATACATTTTATGGATAGGCCATCATTATTTGGACATTCCCAGCTGATAGGTTGCCTCTGTATTTTGCTATTTTAAGCATGCTACATTTGAAAACCTTGACCACATATCTTTACACACTGGTCTTCTTTCTTTAGAATAAAGTCCTCAAACATGAATTCATAGATGAGCTCATATCATTTGTTTTGGGTCATCTCCCAGCATTTGGGTCCCCATAGATTCTTTGTAAATAAAGACTACAGTAACTTCTCTTTGCATACAATATGACGGTTGAAAAATATCCTTTCCAATTGACACTAACCCCTCACTAATGGGTTTTACTCGCAGGTGGTGCCTTCCCTTTCACAGTAGGAAGAATTTCCCATGGATTCAACATGCGCCCAGATCTGTGTGCCCAGGACAATCCAACCAACCCAAAGAAATACCTAGGATCCTTTTACACAGACTCCTTGGTTCACGACCCTCTGGCACTCAAACTGTTAACAGATATCATAGGAAAGGTAAGTCAGGTCTGCCATGTGGATGGCTTATGGGAGCAGAGTGTAGGATCAGCAACTAGTTACTTGGCCTCTCTCTGAAAAAGGGATAGAAGAAAAGGCATTAGAAGAAAGGGGAAGGACAGTGATGTTTGGGATTAAATTTACTTGCACACAAGATCCTCTCCAGAACCTCCTTCAACATAGAGTGTGTTTCACCAGGGAATCATTATATATGCCAGAGAAATCCCAAATAATCTTCACAAGCTGGGTAGTTCCCTTAGATCAGCTCCTGCTCCTTAGGGTCATCTCTATACCCATCCAAAATGACATGTCGCAATATGGTAAGCAGGAAAGAGCTACAAGTTTTGAAGTCGAATTGACCTGGGTCAATTCTAGGCTCTACCTCTTACTGATTTGGTAAATTATAAACCCAACTGTCCTCATCCACTAAATGAAAATTGGAACATTAAAGAAGAAGGAAATGACACTTTCCAGGGAGGCAGGGGAAGATGGTGAAGGGTCTGTGTACCACCTGAAATTTCTTTCTGGAATAACATGACCTTCATTTTTAAAACACTTCTCTTATTTGGCCGAAAAGCTTCTCTAAGCTTCACAAGAACACATCTGTCTTTTGTTGTCATCTGCATATCTCCCTGTTGGTGGCATTTCCACTTTTAAGTATTTTTGAAAATGCTAATTCATTACCCAAGGGATACAGGAGTGCTGATGCATAGGGGCACATGTACCACAATGTTCATAGCAGCACCCTCAACAATAGCCAAAACGGAAAGAGCCTAAATGTCCATCAACTGACGAATGGATCAAGAAGATGTGGTTTATCTATATAATGGAATACTACATGGCAATGAGAAAGAATGAAATCTGGTCATATGTAGCAACACGGATGGAACTTGAGGGTGTTATGCTGAGTGAAATAAGTCAGGCAAAGAAAGACAGATATCATATGCTTCCACTTATAGGAGGATTAGGAGAAACTTAATGGAGGACCATGGGGGAGAAGAAGGGGAAAAACAGTTGGGGAGAGGGAAGGAGGCAAACCATAAGAGACTCTTGAATGCTGAGAACAAACTGAGGGCTAATGGGAGTGGGAGGGGAAGGAGGGGGTGATGGGCATGGAGGAGGGCAATTGTGGGGATGAGTACTGGGTGTTATATGGAAACCAACTTGACAATAAACTATTTAAGAAAAAAAAAAGAAAATGCTAAGTCATCAAGTTACATGATTTTTAGGGCAAAGTCCAGTTTGAATTAGAGAAAAGTCTGAAAAATTTACTATTTCAATTCAAAATTATTTCTAAATATCTATAGACAGTTTCCAAATTCTCCTCAGGAAAAAAAAATAAGTTTTTCTTTAAAAATATGGGCATATTTAAAGATTTGCAATATGGCACTTGGATGGAGAGTAGATGCTAAGGTATTTAAAATGTTGCCTAGCAGAAAAAGAGGTCCATCATTTCAAAGTTGCAAGAAGTTCTCTGTCTCTAGAATGGGGACTTCATCCTACTTTAAAGCTCACTGTTTCTGTGGCTTAAGAAACTCACTAGACTATAAATGTTAAACATTCTGGTTTGGTAATAAATTATATAGTTGAGCTGTGCTTCTGAGCCTTCTAGCTTTTATGTTGTTCCTGACAAAATTAGTGCTGAATGGATTGTGAATGTTGATGATCATTGGTTTGGACAGAGGGGTGATGGGGAGGAAATTACAAAAAGGAGAAACTAGAACAGACTGTGAGTTCTAGACTGTGAGCAGTAGAGAAGGGGGTGTGGAGAAGTGGAGTGGATTTGGGAAAAGAGTCATTCTAATGACCTCCCATCAAATCTAATACCCCTTGTATTCTCAGAAATAGTAACATCAGGAGAAAATGCCCCTGACAAATACAACATCCATTTTATGAGGGATACTATCCTCACCTTCAAACAACATTCAGGGCAAATTGCCGAGGAATCAGAGCAAAAGAAGAACATGGCACATGCCTTGTGGTAACCAGCAGATGGACTAGCGAGCACACGTGAGCATAGTTCTTTTAGAGATCTCCAGAAAAACTCAGAGGGCACTTTGCAGTTAGTGGTGTGCAGACCTTGCATTCAAACTGTGAAGGCTTGAGCCATTATAGCTTGGGCATCAAAAGCAAATGCGACCTCATTTTATGTGACCTCGCTGGCTGGTGAATCCAGGACATGGAAGCTGCATATATTAATAATTTGTATCCTCTCTAAAATATTAATGCTTCTTCATTCTAGTTATATTCACATTAGCAAAATGTCTCAAACACAATCCCCAAACTAAAATGCTAAGGAAAGTCCTAGCATGACACTCAGTCAAGAGAGAAACCTGTCCACATTAGAACACAAGGACAGAATGCTGTGAAAGGGAGGTCTCCAGGAAAGCAAAACTGGAACTCATAGATTATTTCATGGGCTTATGAGTTTGAAACAATGATTACCAGGCATTCAACAGATCTGTTAATGTATTAGGAACAAACAGTATGTAAATAGAAAATTAAGCAAATGAAAGAAAAGGAAATAATTTACTCCAAGAAAACAAACACCCATATGAGGGTAGGTAATCATTGTGAATTACTTGACTCATCAGTGAACAATATTTACAGTCGTAATAGTTTAAATACGATGTACTGGTTTAAGTGAAAATTCTAATTCTACTGGGAAAATGGAGGGGAGAAATTGGGGTAACAAAGCAATTCTCAAAGATCATGAAAGGAAGTCAGTAAATATTCTCTAAAGCTAATAAATTGAGAATAGAATAAGCTAATTACAGAAGAATGAAGGTAATTATCAGAAGATGCAAAGTTAAATACTGAAACTGGCTGTCTTGGAGGTTAAGAGGTAGGAAAGTAGGCACAAGACTGCTTTTAAAGATATTTCAATAATATCTGATTGTTTGACTATGTATAGGAATTACTTCGATAAATCAAAATTTTACATAATACCCTAAGAACAAATAGAGAGAACACATACAGACTGAATAGAATAATAAATATTTATATAAATAATATATTATGAATAAATATATAATATGTATTATAAATATATATATACCAAATATAAATATATATATACCAACACTATTTGAGTTCCTACTATTCCTAAAACACTGTGCTAAGTGGAGGACCTAAATTAAATAATCTCTGACAGGTGTGAGGTGATATCTTATTGTAGTCTTGATTTGTATTTCCCTGATGAGGAGTGATGTTGAGCATCCTTTCTTGTGTCTGTTAGTCATCTTTATGTCTTCTTTGGAAAAATGTCTCTTCATATCTTCTGCCTATTTTTTAATTGGATTATTCATTTTTGAGGTGTTTAGTTTTATAAGTTCCTTATATATTTCAGATAATAAGCCTTTAGCGGATACATCATTTGCAAATATCTTCTCTCATTCTGGAGGTTGCCTTTGAGCTTTGTCGATTGTTTCCTTCAGTGTGCAGAAAGTTTTTATTTTGATGCAGTCCCAATAGTTTATTTTTGCTTCTGTTTCCCTTGCCTCTGGGAATATATCTAGAAAAGCGGTGTTATAGCCCATGTCAAAGACGTTACTGCCTGTACTCTCTTCTAGGATTTTGGTGGTTTCAGGTCTCACATTTACATCTTTCATCCATTTTTAATTGATTTTTGTGTATGATTTAAGAAAGTGGCGTAGTTTCATTCTTTTGCATGTTGCTGTCCAGTTTTCCTAACACCATCTGTTGAACAGATTGTCTTTTTCCCACTGGATATTCTTTCCTGCTTTTTAATTGACCATATAATTGTGGATTCATTTCTGGGTTTTCTATTCTGTTCGAGTGATCTTGTGTCTATTTTTGTGCCAGTACCACATTGCTCTGATCACTACAGCTTTGTAATATAACTTGAAGTCTGATATTCTGAAGCCCCCAGCTTTGCTTTGCTTTTCTGAGGTTAATTTGGCTATTTAGTGTCTTTTGTGGTCCCATACAAACTTTAGGATGGTTCATTCTAGTTCTGTGAAAAATGTTATTGGTATTTTTATAGGAATTGCATTAAATGTGTACTTTGTTTTGGGTAGTATAGACATTTTAACAATATTTGTTCCAATCCATGAGCACTGAATGTCTTCACATTTCTTTGTGTCATCTTCAATTTCTTTCATCATTTTTTCATAGTTTTCAGAATACAGGTCTTTCACCTCTTTGATTAGGTTTATTCCTAGGTATGGTATTGTTTTTGGTGCAATTGTAAAGAAGACTGATTCCTTAATTTCTCTTCCTGCTACTTCATTATTGGTGTATAGAAATGCAACAGATTTCTATACATTGATTTTATATCCTGCTACTTTACTGAATTCATGTATCAGTTCTAGCAATATTTTGTAGAGTTTTGTATTCTTTATATAGAGTATCATGTCATCTGCAAATAGTGAAAGTTTTGTATCTTCCTTGCCAATTTGGATCCCTTTTATTTCTTTGTGTTGTTTGATTGCATTGACTTACAGTACTATGTTGAATAAAAGTGGTGAGAGTGAACATTCCTGTCCTGTTTCTGACAAAGAGGAAGAGTTCTGTTTTTCCCCACTGAGGATGATGTTAGTGTGGGTTCTTCACATATGGCTTTTACTGCATTGGGGTGTGTTGCCTCTAAACGTACTTTGTTGACTCTGAGGTTTTATCATGAATGGGAATTGTACTTTGTTGAATGCTTTTTCTGCATCTATTGAAATGATCTTATAGTTCTTATCCTTCCTCTTATTAATGTGATGTATCACACTGATTGATCTGTGAATATTGAACCACCTTGCACCCAGGAATAAATCCCACTTAATTGGGGTGCATAATTTTTTCAATGTATTATTGGATTCGGTTTGCTGTATATTTTATTGAGAATTTTTGCATCCATGTTCATCAGAGATACTGACTTATAGTTCTCTTTTTTAGTGGAATCTTTATTTGTGCTTGGTATCAGCGTAATGCTGTCCTTATAAGATGAATTTGGAACTTTTTCTTCGTTTTCTATTTTTTGGAATAGTTTG